TTTCTTTTTTGGAAAAAAATGTGTTCCACATCATTGTACTTTATTATATTCAAATAACTACAACGAATTTTATTTTTTCAATTGTTATATTAATAATTGGCCAAATCAAAACAAGACACATAAAATGACACGAAAATGGTAGAAGATAATGAATTTGATATTAATAGTACATTTCAATAATGTATGATAAATTTTATTCATCAGACATTGTTACTAATTATATGCGTAACTATAAAGTTAGCTTGCATTAAATTTTATTTTAATTGTTAAATGGTACTGATTTAAATTATTGAAACCACTGTTACTAATTATAGTACTAATTTTGGTAAAATATATCTGAACAATTGAACTATAAAAGATATAATTGAAGAATTGAACTACTCCTTGCAGTGGAGAAATCATTCAATTTAATATCTAATGTGCTCTAATATGCAAATATAATTGAACAAATAGGCCGGAGATCGCAAGTTCGAATCTCATCCCAATCAAGGATGTTTGCATTAAAAAGAGCAGATATTATAATAGATTTAGTAGAATGTTCAAAAAACACACATGCTCCTACCATGCTTTACAAATAATTCATAACTATAAGAGCTACACACAAGGCCACAATGGCCTTATAATATTTTTTGTTAGAATTGTTGTTTTAAACCAAATCGTGGGGTTTGCCGGTTTGGTTTTGTGCTTTCTCTTCTCCTCCCCCACCCCACCTAGGCCCTAGCCTGTTACACCCCATGTCCCCATTGTTGAATACTTGAATGGGATTAAATTGGACCTTGGATCTGATAATATTCCGTGACAATAACCTCACTTGGCCACTCATTTTAAGCTGAAGCATGATAAAAAAAACATACTGAAGTTTTAACAAAGAAATTAAGATATAAAACCATACATATAGGCATATAACACGTCACTCAAAGATAGCATTCGGCGGCATTCAGGCATGGAGTTAGTGATGGACCCGGGCCGGGTCAAGGCCCGGTCGGGCCTCGGGTCCTATAACGGTAGGCCCGGGACCGGCCCGGTCAATGACCGGTTCCGGTTTGGGCCGGGCCACCCGCCCGGGTCACGGTTCGGGCCACCCGCCGGGCCGGGCCGGGCCAGTACAATTTTTTTTTATTAATTATATATTATACAAATTGCTATTAAAAACAAAGTTCAAGTGCATTTATTTGAAATAAGAACTACATTTGAGAATTGAGAAAAAAATAACAATACGAAATACATTTTGTAATGAATATCAATTGGGATTTCCGCCACCGTTGGTTGTTGTTTTCCCTTTGTCACAAGACTTCATATGTTTTATTGGCATCCCGTATCCGTATGAACGCCCCAAGCAACAGTCTTTCTTGCACCACCTGCAAGTTGCCCACCACAGTCCGGTCTTCGGGTCCTTCCACTTGTCAAAATTGTTTTGCATAAGGGAAGATGTACTTTTCATATTTAAAATGGTATATGTATAAGTAGGAATGTAGGATAATAAGAGAAGATGAAGATGGAGAAGAGTTTGAGAAGAATTGGAGAAAAGGTGTAGAAAAATGTTAGAAAATAGATGTATTTATAGATGTTTTTGAACCCCACTCCCCACACCACCACCCCCGGGACCCCCCTGCCCCCCACCCATAGCCCCAACGGCTATATAGCCGTTTGGGAGCTTTGAATTTTTTTTTTTTTTAAGTTATACACATATTGTAAAATAAATTAATTAATTTAATGAATTAAGTAAAACTAAAACTATTTGTACTTAGAAAAGTGGTTTGATTTATAATTTACAAATGTTACAAAATAGGTGTATAAGTATTTAAACAAATTACATATTCTAAATGTATTTTTAATTTAAAAACCGGCTTTATATTTTAGAAAAAGAATTTTAAGTCGTTAGATTGTAACCAATTAATTAATTTGAGAAGTGCTACATATGAAAAAGTGAACACATATTTATTTGAAATATGAAGTACAAGTTTACAAATTAATTTGAACTATAACTACAAATTTACAATTTTGAAATATGAAGTACAAGTTTACAATTTTGAAATATGAAGTACAAGTATAAATAAATTTGACAAGTGCTATAAAATACATTTTGTAATAAATTCTAAAATACTAATCAATCGGAATATTCGGCATAGGTAGAGCCACCATCGGTTGTTGAGTCATCCATAAAATCTTGGGAGGGGGTGATGCTCAATTCTTGAGTTCTACGTGCGGCCTTCAACCAATCGTGGTAGCATACAAGCGTCTCAAGAGACTCCGCGCTCAATCTCGATCTAGATGCCGTTAGGACGTTGCCGGCCGACCTAAATTCTTGTTCCACAGCAACAGTTGAAACCGGCATTGATAGTACTTGCTTAGCCATCCGTGCTAAAATCGGGAACGTTCTTTCTTTTGACTTCCACCAGTCTAGAACGTCAAAGTCATCATTTTCTTCAAAATCAACTTCATATGTTAAATACAAAGTAATCTCATTCAATGCGCTTTGTTCAGTGACGTGAGTTGTTTTAGTTTTTTTCATAAGATTGCCAAATGCAGATTTAAAAATCGATTTTCCTTTAGATGAAGATGTTCGTGACGGGGGAGGGGGAGCGTTGCCTTAAGATGCCTTGCGGCGGATCCGTATCCGCCGGAGGTTCCCAAACTATAATTGTTGTTGCACCACTTGCAAGTTGCGTGCCAATAGCCGGTTTGTGGGTCCTTCCATTTATCAAAATTATTTTTCATTAGTTCAGACTTACTTTTTTTATTACCGGTGGCGGTTTGGGATGAGGCAGGCGCGTCGGCGTCGTGGCTGCCGGCACCCTCCTCCTCGGCTGTCTCCGGTTCCAATTCCTCCGCATCTTCATCCCCAAGCTCCTCTTCGTCAATGGTCGTCGGCATTTGTTGTTGTTGTAGAAAGCGGTTATTATGTCGGGCCAATTCTTGTTGGAGTTGTTCTTCGGACATCGCATCTCCATCTCGCCTTTGGTAACCCGTTTCAAAATCATCTCGGCTTTGAGATGAAGACCCGGCAAGTTCTTTACCTTTGCGGGATTTCTTCCTCCCAATCTCGTTTCTTCGATTGCGTTGGAGGTTACCCAAATCAACCGAATATCTACCACCTTCCATCTAAAAAATGTAACAAATATTAATTCACAACAAATATAATAATGGATACAAAACTAATGCAACTAATTAAAACTATTTTAATTAATACTTCAAACTAATTTTTTGCAAAGTAGAATTAATGTGTGTCTCTACAATTAAAATTATAGCAACTTTTGAAGTAAATAACTAGTACAAGTAAAAATGTAACAACAATGCTAATTAAGTAGTTAACTAGTATAGTGACAAATGTAACAAACTAACAACTAGTTAAATAAAATGTGAAGTATTTTAATTAGTATAATGAAAAATGTAACAAGAATGGTAATGAACTAATTAACTAGTATAATGAAAAATGTAACAAGAATGCTAATTAACTAATTAACTAGTATAATGAAAAATGTTACAATAATGGTAATGAACTAATTAACTAGTATAATGAAAAATGTAACAAGAATGCTAATTAACTAATTAACTGGTATAATACTAGTTATAGTAAGTAATATATAATATAATGTTTATATTATATAATATATAAGTATACTACTATAAGATGAGTAATACACTTATATTTTATACTTTAATATATAAAATATATATTAAGTAGATGTAGAATGTATGTATTAAGTGGATATAATAATTGTATAAGAATTAAATATTAGAGTATAATGGAGAATTGGAGATTGGAAAATAAGTATATATAAAATATAAGTAGAGAAGTAGATATTATTATGTATTAAGTATATAGTAATAGTTTATAAAGTATATTTAATACTTTATTATATAAAGTATATATTAAGTAGATATAGTATGTATGTATGTATTAAGAGATATAAGTAGAGATTAAGTAGATAAGAAATATAAGTAATATAGTATATGTAGATAATAATATATAAGTAGATAATTAATATATAAGTAGATATAATAATTGTATAAGTATTAAATAGTAAAATAAAATATAAAGGAGAATAAGAGAATTTGAGAAGATGAATATGGAGAATTGGAGATGAGTAGAGAGTAGGATTTAGGTAGAGTTGGAGAAGAGGTGTGAAAAAATGTTTAAAATTAGGAGTATTTATAGGTTTTTTTTAACCCCCACTCCCCACCCCCCCACCCAAAGCCCCCTGACCCCCCCCCCCCCCCGGTACCACCCAACGGCTATATAGCCGTTTGGGGTGGCCGTTGAGCCAAAAGAAGCAAAAAAAAAAAAAAAAAAATTAAATTTTGGACCATTAGGCCCGGGCCCGACCCGGCCGGGCCGGGCCTCCAAAACCAGGACCCGAGCCCGGTCCCGCTAACCCGACCAGGTCTGTGCCCGAACCGGACCCGGACCCGAGAACCGGGCCGGTTCCGGGCCCGCACAGTGGCGGGCCGGGCCGGTCCCGGGCCGGGCGGCCCGAACCGGGTCCACGCCTACATGGAGTGTGAATAATATGCAGTCCTTAATTTAGATGAGGAAGCAATGAGCTTCTGAATTTTCATGACAAACAGAAAGTTGCATCTCATATGCACTCAAATACTCAATCATGAATCATTATCAATTTTTCTTGAGCAGGCTTCCATTTTGATCTCTTCATGTTAGTGAAAATAGGAGGAGCCATTTTTATCAAGTTATCAACTTGAAGCAGTAAATTACCATTATAATAGCCCTTACAAAATAAATTGATTACAAGTTAATGAAAAGTAATATCAAAAGGCAAATAGATACTCTCTGTATAACTCATTGTAAAGCATGATAGCTCACTTTTTGAATTTCACGTACAAATTCTGGTTCTCTGTGCAGCATAGTTTATAAATCTTAACAGCTAACAATAAGACATTAAATGCCTATTTCGAATACACTGACTAGCAAAATTGCAAACCACCCCTCTTATGAAACAATAACAGCATATCTAGTGGCGCTTTCCACGGCCACCCTTCTTGCCCTTGTTCTTATTGCCCCCTTTTTTCTTCATACCTTTGTAAGGAGCAAACTTTTTCTCATCAGGGACAGCTGTCGACGTAGATGGTTTGAACAGACCTTTTACATCGAGCACGCCATTCCTGAACCGACCTTCACTTGATTTTAGTACCCTGTCCTCAGGGTTGCGCCTTTGAGTTTCTCTTCTAGAGCTGCATCCGTTATTTATCCCAAATCGCCTAAGAACTAAACTCTACACAAACAAATAGTTAACACCCACAATTTTTGGAAATTTGAAAAGAAATCAAACACCAGACAAGTGCCACCGCCCCCAGTTATTTTTGTTTATCAAACAAAGCTAATATCCCATGTAACTAGCCAAAAATGAGTCACCAAGAGGTTATGTTAGCAAAAGCAACAAATAAATCTAAATATACATGTGTGATTGATTTTATACCAGTAGCACGTTACCGAATTTTAAAAGTTTACATGGGTCAAATATGTATGTTTGGATGAAGGACTTTGGGGAGGGGCAGAGGCGCCCTTAGGGGGAGTTACCCTAGGCAAGGTGCCTAGGGCCTCACCTCTCAAGGGCCCCCATTTTATGTAATTTTTTTTTTTTGTAAAAATAGTAATAAATAAATAAATAAATAGTGATGACATAAAAAATGAATACTAATATGTACCACCTTTAACTTTTGAATCACTCGAGTTCGTTAACTTTTTTATTTAGTTGTTCAAAAAAATGGAATATTCAATTTAAAGTAAGTGATTTATGATGCTAAATTTCTTATAGACACGTAAAAAAGTTCTACTAATTAATTTATGTTCTTATATTATTAAATGTATTCCCAAGTAATGCTACAGTTCTTTTTAAATAATAAGAAAGTGATCATAATATAATAAAGTTATTATAATTGATTATAAAAGTTCTTCATTTCTAAAAATCATATTTATTTCTTCTTTGAAATATTCAAATCTTTCTTGAAACATCAAAGCAGAGAATACGGTATTATTTATTCTTGTTAATGTGCTGATTGTTTAAAAATGTAATTTTTTTTAGAGTGCAAAAGTTGATAATGTTTTCTATTGAGAAAAGGAAAATTTTAAGTATATATAAAACTATTATCCTCATCACACAAAATTTGATCAAACCGACTTTGTTTGGTCAATGGTAGTAGATTTTGGACAATTTCAATGATTCTAGTTATTATAGTTATGCGAAATTTATATTTTTTATACTGTATGAAAGTTATTTTAAAATTGAAACATTTGTTTTGAAAGTAAATTTTATTTGGATTGATAGAATATTTGATTACATTGAAACATTCATAATCATTCATTAGATCAATATAATTATTTAATTATTTTGTTTATTACTTTTGTTTGTATTAATTATACGGTGCTCTTTGGCCCGTATAATTATTGCTCTTGAACTCTCTGTGGCCGCCCCTGGGGAGGGGCTTTGGAGGCCTAGTCTATAGAATGTTTCTGAAAGTGAATAAAATGTAATTGAGATGTCATACATATAATACATAATACAATATCATCATAAGTTATCAATGGCGAGATATGGCACGCGCCATATGCGCCATTGCCATGAAAAAGTGGTCTTCGCCATAGCGCTATATGCGCCATCGGCATGAAAAAGTGATCTTCGCCATAGCGTCATATGCGCCATCGCCGTGCGCCATGAAAAATGCCTTTGCGCCATGGCGCTTGCCATTCGCCATGACAAGCTTGAATATCATTTTATGTTAATCTTTAGTTTTTTCTTAAGAACTTCAAAAGACATGTCAAAACATAGATACACAACCCTCCAAAACCTTCTTCTCCAAACAAACCCAAAGTGAGACAAGATAGAGTAGAATGAACGACCTACCTCTTCTAATTCTTTTTGCTCCCTCTCTTTCTGTTTCTTCATCATCACCCGAGCCACACTAAGTGGAAGTCTCTGCTTCTTTGGATGCTGAATTGACTCCAAAAAAAGTTAATGAATACCAACAGGCGACATGGACATAAATATAAACATATGTGTTAAATAAATATCAATGTGACAATATCCTGGGAAAAAGGGATCACCTTTCCCCCAAGAGAAGCAACTTTTTTGTTTTCCAAATCCTTTTTCTCCTTCCATGTCATGTGTGGGGAACCTGACAAGAAGAGTATTGTGATTGAAGTAGGTCATGAAATCTGGGGGAAAACATGCATAAATCAACAAATAAAACTGATTCACCTAATGTAATATTTCAGGTTCTTTGATCATCTCTCTATATGTAAAGATAAAGCAAACGGGTACTAAGAAAATATGCAAACTATTGACAGCAACATCTACCTAAAGTTATAATAGCGGCCAATCCGTGTCGGGATGGAGCACTACTAATGCCTAATGCTTCATTCACAACTCTTATGCTTATTAAAGTGCAGACCCACTACCTAAGACTTATCAAAATACATCTATGGAATTGCATCAATGACAAAACAAAACTATTACTAAAAGGAAAAAGTATATTGTTAAAAGTCACAACAGAGATAACAAAACCAATTAGTTCTCGAGAAGAAATCATGGTTCCTAAAAAGGTAGTCAAAGTCCCGAGGCGCACTTAAGGCGCTATAGAGTACTTGTATCACCTGAGACGCAAAACGCAAAAAAACGGTCACGTGATTCACGTCAAGCGCACTATTTAAAAAATATTACTACCTCCATCCCAATTTAATTGTACAAGTTCTTATTTACTTGGTCAACACAAATCACTCTTAATTTGTGACTTTATATATCAATTTTTTATCAAACTTGATTATGGTTTTTGCGACTTAGTAGAGCTTTTAGGGGGTGTTTGGAACTGATTCTGATTATGCTTCTTTTTTAAAGCAGAAGCAGAATCAGAGACAGTTTTCAGAAGCTGGTCTTCCCAAGCTTCTAAAAAACTGATTCTAGGAGTAAATTTGGGCACCAGAAGCACTTTTGCACTTCCACCCAAACACTCCAAATTCTCTTTCTGCTCCCTAAAGGAGATTAAGAATCAGATCCAAACACCCCCTTAATGTAGTTTCTGAATATGTAATTTTATTTTTCTAAAAAAAATTGAGTGCGGACAAATATCAGTTTGCTTTATCGTCAGTCAAACGTTGTAAACCACAATGCTATCAACAAATTGGGACAGATGTAATATATATTCTATTCTAGAGTGCTCATGGGAATATTCCCAAAGGAGGCAAAACATCACTATTTTTTGGCATGGAAATATCACAAAATAAAGTAAAATGAATCATTAAATTGTCAGCACCTCTTTGTTATGAAGTAGCAGTCAGTCCATGCAATTTTCAACTCGATTTTCATCTTGGGTCATCCGGAAACAATCTTTGTGTACTTTAGTACATGGGAAAGTAAGGTTGCGTACATTTGACCCCTTACCTCACCGTAGGTGGGAGTCTTTGTGGCACTGAGGTATTGTTGTACTATTCTAAAGTGATCAAATATGACATATTCAACATCTTATCAAGGTTCAAATTGCATATTGCATAATCGTGGCGTTTTTTTATTATCGTGAACTACTCATTGCGCAATGAGGCGTATACATACATATATATATGGTGTGTGTTTATAAACACAACTAAAAATAGAGAAAAGTACTCATGAATGTAATACAGAAACAAATTATCACGAGAAAATAATTTTGGTAAAGTAATACGTTCAAATTTCATAGCGTGGAGTAGTCCAAATCTGAATCGTCCTAACATTTTGAAATTGTAAGATTATTAGATTGAAAAAGTGAATCATCTTTATCTAATGATATTAAGTATAAAATAGGGATCATATATACTAGAATTTCCTCCATCATCATGTCAAGATAAAAAACGTTATCATCAACGTCCAACTCTTCATCTTGATGAACTAAGTGCAATTTTCTCTTTCCTTTATCATGGTGCTTTCATTTTGGACCCTGACTATGTCCCCCACGGCCTTTTTCACGACACATTGCATTTCCACGAACAACTTTTTGACTTGAATGATGGACATGCCTAGAACTAGCTCCATCATCATCGTCAACATCACGATCATCATCACTATCACCACTAGGATTCGGTCCATCTTCATCAACCACCCATTAATCACCCGATGGAACATCATCCATCCTTAAAGGATATATGTATTCTTTAAGTGTCACTTTTTTTCATCCATTTTGTCTTTAATCTCTTGTTATACATCACAAATACTAACTTGTTCAGATTGCTCGTGTGCAAACGATTCCTTCTCTTGGTATGTATCTACATGTATATTAGTTAAACTAATTATTTACATGACTGGCTCATATTTGTATTAAATTAAATATGAAAATATGTATTAAATTAAATATTTATATACATTATAATATCTTAGTAAAAGTGCTCGAGATACGTTTACAAGCAGAAAAGGAACATGTCAGACTCAAAACTCACAAAAAAATTCATTAATTCTGGAGTCTGATCCCCATGCTCGAGTCACGGGCTTATTGACGGTGCTTTTTTCCAACTTCATGAATGAAGAATCCCTTTTTCAAATGGTAATCTTCCATTTACAAATGTATCTTCTCATGAACCTCACGATCTGAAAACATATTGACCACAAAGTTGAACAAGTCAAGTTTAATATATGGATGAATGGACACAGTGGGATCATATTGATACTGTGGATTGAGAAAGTATGTTGTTGCATGCAAATCACGATGCATTTGAAATTCCCATTTCTCATCTATTTTGTTCAAAATTTCTTTATAAGCCGTCGGATCGTCACCCAAATTTTTAGTTATCTCTTCTTTGACACAATCCATAAAACCATATACAAATCCCATACCAGTAACATTCTTTGGTCCACCATCCTCAACACACTAAACAAATGCTTTGTTGTCTTGATTACATAAGCCATGCTTGGCCGTAAATATGTACCTCCAATCACAATTTGTTTCACCGTCTTTGCTTCTGTTTTATTGGACATGTGATGAAATGGCCATTCTTTAGAAACAAACATTTTTTCCAAATCATCTTTTGCATTATGCATGCTTTGCAACTGTAGCATATCTTGTGGCAGTAGGACGAATAAGATCTCTTTTAAGCATTTGTCACATCAAAGTCCGTGCTCATCCATATAGTGAATCACCAATATAATATTATACAATTATTAAATTTATGTTACTATTTTGAAATTTCACAAATAATAATTAAATTTTAGACTTGTACTTAACTTTTTAGCCTTTGTTAGCGCATTCTTGTGTTGTGGGAGCTCCTCAATTTTCTCGAGCATCATATCAATGTAATGAGTTGCACAAGGTGTCCACCAAAGACGTCGCTTCGTCATCAATATTTCCACAACAGCTTTATAGTTCGATGCATTATCGGTTGCAGCTGCATAACAATATCTTTCCCAACCTTTTCACAACACTATCCAGAAGCTAGCAGAACATTCTTGCATTTTTACGTGGTCCGAGGCATCAACAGATTTAAAAAAAACATTATTCCATATGGATTATTGACGAGAAAGTTGATTGGTTGTCATCCACGCACATCCTTCCATCCATCATACAATATAGACACTTCAGTATGTGTTCATGTCAGCTTCACGTTTTTCGCAACCATGTAGTTTTTCTAGTCCGACTACAATGTCAAGTAGAGATCCAGCATGGAAACATGGAGAGGAAATAAAATGAGAAGGGTTAAAGGGGAAGTCTTACAAATATCTAAAGTGTCGCTATTGCGGTCAAGAGACCATAGGAGGGGTAAGTGGATTAGAGAATCATCCTGCCTGCACAAGAAGGGATTAAGACCATGTCCCTTTGTTCTATATGATGTAAAAGAAGATATGATAGCCCTTCTGAAGTTGAGTGAGAAAACACTAACGGTTAGAGATAGAGATCGGGAGGAGGTTATTAATGGTGGTTCATATTATCAAAGTGTGAACTCAAACAGAGGAGATTCAAGTGGGGGGTACCAATACCCAACAAGGCATCCAGGATCTTATTGATAGATATATCATTGACGTCGAAGGTGAATCTGAAGGAAACTCATGTGGGTGAAAAAAAAGCAAGGTGACAATGTTGTTGGGATGTTGGTAGATTTTTTCCGAGAATGGCATTCCTCCTCTCAACGTGGCCAATCCACCTTCATTTATTAACATGTGTCGTGCAATCGGTAATTACGAAAGGGGCTTCAAGCCATCTTCAACTTATGAGCTAAGCCATTTGATTCTAGACGAAGAAACCAAAACAACTCAAAAAGTGAAGCTGACATGGACATACTGGAGTGTCTATATTGTCTTATGGGTGGAAGGATATGCCCGGACGACAACTGATCCAATTTCTCGTCAATAATCCATATGAAACAGATCTTTTTTTTTTAAATTTGTTGATGCATCGGACCACGTAAAACATGCACGAATGTTGTGTAACCTTCTAGATAGTGTTGTGGAAGAGGTTGAGGAAGATATTTTTACGTCGGTTGTAACTGATTATGCATAGAACTATAAAGCTACTGGGAAATTATTGATGGCGAAGCGACGACGTCTTTGGTGGACACCTTGTGCAGCTCATTGCATTGATTTGATGCTCGAGAAAATTGGGGAGCTCTCTCAACACAAGAATGCGCTAACAAAGGCTAAAAAGGTAATTTAAAGTTTAAATTTAATTATTGTTTGTGAAATTGCAAAATAGTAGCATAAATTTTATAATGTATAACTTAAAATTGATTAACTATATGTACAATTATGGATGAGCACTTGCTTTGATGCGACAAATGCTTAAAAAAGGTCTTACTCGTTCTGCTGCCATAAGATTTGTTACAATTTACCTCACGTTGCAAAGCAAGCATAATACAAAAGACAATTTGGAAGAAATGTGTGTTTATAAAGAATGGTCATCTCATCACATGTCCAAAACAACAGAAGCAAAGACGGTGAAACAAATTGTGATCAGGGATAAATATTTTCGACTGAGCATGACTTATGCAATCAAGACAACAAAGCCTTTGTTTAGTGTGTTGAGGATGGCGGACTCAGAGAACGTTGTTGGTATGGGATTTGTATATGGTTCTATGGATCGTACCAAAAAAGAGATAACTAAAAATTTGGGTGAGAATCTAGCTGCCTATAAAGAAATTTGGAACATAGTGGAAATTTCAAATGCATCGTAATTTGTATGCAACAACATACTTTCTCAATCCACAATATCAATATGATCCCAATATGTCCCCTCATCTAGAGATTAAACTTAGCTTGTTCAGTTGTGTGGCCAAAATGTTTCCAGACCATGAGGTTCAAGACAAGATACATTTGCAAATGAATGATTACCATTTGAAAAGGGGATTCTTCGGTCATGAAGTGGCGAAAAGCACTAGTAATAAGTGTAGTTTTGGTATGAAAAGTTAATTCATTAGACATCAATTTTTGTAGTTTACCTCATAATTTTATTTGAATGACTGCAGTGGATTGGTGGTCTCAATATGGGGATAAGACTCCAGAATTAATGAATTTTGCTGTGAGAGTTGAGTCTGATATGTTCATCGTCTGCTTGTGAACGTAACTGGAGCACATTTAATTAGGTATTAAAATGTATATACATTTTTAAATTAATACATTTGTACATATGTAAATGTATTAACTGTTAACATATACAAATATGAATCAGTCAAGTAAATAATAAAATTTAACTAATATACTTGTAAATACATACCAAGAGAAGGAATCGTCTGTTTGCGAGCAATTTGTGATGTATAACAAGAGATTAAAGAGAAAATTGATGAAAAAAGTGTCACTTGAAGAAGACATCAAACCTTTATTGATGGATGAGATTCCATCGGATGATGAATGGGTGGTTGATGAAGATGAACCGAAATCCAGTGGTGGTGATATTGATAATGATCGTGATGTTGACGATGATGGTGGAGCTAATGTTGAGCGTGTCCATCATTGAAGTCGAGAAATTGGTCGTGGGAGTGGAATGAGTCGTGAAAAATGTCGTGGGGGGCGCCAGTCAAGGTCAAAAAAGAAAGCACCCCGATAAAGGAAATAGGGAATTGCACTTATCTGATGAAGACGAAGAGCTAGACGTTGATGATAACACTTTTGATCTTGACCTTGATCATGGAAGAAATTTTGGTGGATATAATACCTATTTTATAGCATTAGATAGTGATGATTCATTTTTTCAATCATCAATCTAATAATCTTACAACTTCAAAATGTTAGGATGGTTCAGCTTTTTTGGACTACTCTATGCTTTGAATTTTGAATTATGGATTATTTCCTTATTATAGTTTGGTTTTATATTACATTGGATGAGTACTTTTGCTTATTAATAAACACAAACACACAGACAATATAAATTAATGCGCAATGAGGCTTAATTAATACTCCCTCCATATTTAAAAGATCGTTGCGTTTGGTGATGACACGAGATTTAAGATAGAATAGTAGGGGTAATAAATAATAATATAGAAAAAGTAGGAGAAAGGGTAAAAAAGTAAGAAAGAGAGGATAAAAGGTAAAAAAGTAAGGGTAATTGAGTATTTTTAAAGGAAAAACTTACCAAAAAGGAAAAGTGTAGGGAACTTTTAAATACATCCCAAAAAGGAAAGTGTAGAGAACTTTTAAATAAGTAGGGAGTACGCAATAATAATAATAAAAACGCCACGATTACGCAATACGCAATTCTGAACCTTGGTCAAGATAAAAGACTTTTCCCACTACTAAGAAGGGTTTAATATGGGTTTAAGTTGTTTTACGTAATATTTGGATGGCCAAAAATCTTATTATAAGTATGGGCTTATTGTTTGGATGGGCAAAAATCTTATTATAAGCATGGGCTAGCTGTTTAAAGCAAGATCAAACAAAAAATAATCTCATAGGCCTTTCCCAGCCCAAGTGAATTAAGCGTGAGCTTTTCTCAGCTCGGGCACTTCTGCGCTTCTACACCTAAAGTACGGTTCAAACACGGGGCTACGCTTGGACGTTGTTCAGTTGCTAAGCATCATGTGTGTTGCGTCTGGTGCGCTTAAGTGTCCAGGCGCTCGCTTAATCACTTTTGACTACCTTGGTTCCCAAACATTCAAATCAAAGAATAAAAGCGACAATAACTATTGGCCAATAATTAAGCATTTTTCAATACAATTTGATGCATTTCACAGTAGTAAAAAATATAGTTGCACTAATTTACCTAAAAATTGGATGTCTTTCAGGATAGACTTGAAGTCCACTTTTACATCTGGGTCATCTACAGTGGCAGCTTTGGAATGCTCAGCTTTCTGTCTTTGCTCTTTCTGTCTTTGCTGCTTCATCATTTTGTCTGTTCAGAGAAGCCAAAGTATAAGATGCTAGGATTAGCTTCTACATAAGCAAAAGGTCAAGATAAGTACCATTATTATTAATTTCAAGAGTTGAATTCAAAGAGCATTAGCGATAGGGTTCCCAGACGTTTCATTTTGGGTCACACACACACCCCTGGAGAGGAAGTGGTGGAACACAGAAACTATATACTCTGTTTATTTTGTACACCTGTGAATCTAACCATCTCAGATAGCTTCATGCCTTCATATTCTTCTTTCATTGATACAGTGTTATAAACTGATAACTAATAACCTATTGAAAACATATGCTTTGTACATGTATATATCCATTTACTAGATTTAACCCATACAATACACTCAATGTAACTAATCCTTAGATTTATATTGAGTGCTATCATTCCCTCAGTCCCAAAATATATTTTCTGTGTGGTTTTTATCAAGGGCGGATCTAGTGCCGATCCTACCTAAACTCGAGCTAGAGTCGAGCTTCTTAAAAAAGCCCCTATACATAGTGTTCGTTTGTCATATTAGTTCTTTAAAACTCAATGACTAAATATCACAAAAACGCATTACTTAAATAAGTCTTATATTGCAATAAAATGACACTGAATGTATTAGAAAACTAATGAAGTACAACTCGCCGAACAATTTGAGATGCAAAAGTATAATCAAGTCCGCATAAAGAGTGTCATCAACATTCTCAATTTGTACATTTTCTTCATTCTCATTTGAAGCATTCTCCTTTTCACCTGTTAAATTTTTTGAAGATGTACTCTCTAAAATTGCTCTTTTATTTGAAATCAAGTGCTTATTAATGTTTCCGGCCTGACTTTGAAATAATGGTTCAGTGCATCTTTTTTCCTCTTCTGAAATTCAGATAAAGATTTCAGAGGCATGATGCAAAAAAATAAATGAACACATAAATTAGTGGAATGCTTAACAATATAGGCAGGGCCGGTCCCGAGAAAATGTAGACCCTGTGCGAGAATAAAATTTGGGCCTTTTTCTAAGTTGCAACACAAGCAAATTGTTTTAAAATACAAGTTACTAATAAAGGTAATGATAAACATTAAAAATTATACTAGTATAATTATAATTTATCAACCTAAAGTTACCTAATAATATATTTATACCACTTTATTAAAGTTAAATTGTCAAACACATTTACATATTTATTATCAAATTCAAATAATGGTTTACTTTAACTACAAAAAATCAAGAAATAACAATTAACTACAATACATCAATTCAACAAACATGAAATCATAAAATAAACAAATTACAATAATTCAACAAAAAATTCAACAATTCAATAATTCAAATATTCCCAAGAATTAGCAACTAAATGAATCACAAAGCTGAAAATCAGTGGACCGTGGACAGACCGGACTGAGGGGCTCAGGGAGGCGGGCAGGCAGGTCGCGGTGGCTGGTTGGGGCGTGGCAGCGTGGGGCAGTGCCGCAGTGGGCAGTGGCGGCCTGGCTGGGCGGCTGGCGCTGGGTTGGTGGCGGAGCCGCGGAGGACCGAGGTCAAGGGCTTCACTCCAGAGCAGCGGGATAGCAGCGAAGTGGAATCATCGTCCTTCTTCTGATTTCTGAAACGGCCTTTTTTGTGCGCAGGTTTATGATCGAGGATAATGGAGTCGGAGGATTTTGGGCGCAGGTTGATCGGGATTTGGGGCTTTGTGCGCAGGTGAAGACTGAAGACAGGGCAGGTGATTTTGGACTGGGTATAATACTATTTTTTTTGGGCCCTTCAAAATTCCGGCCCTGAATATAGATAGTGTATTAGTAACTTTCTTTACTTTCTTTACTTGCAAACACTTGTGCTTAAATAAAAATACTTTTTGGGAAAAAGTGATTAGTAGTAAAAGTTGGTAGTGTTTTGTAAAATAAGTGTTTTTTGTGTAATAGAAAAAGTAAAAAGTAGATTCTACACGAAAACCGAGATAGTAAAAGTTGGTACTGTTTGGTAAAATAAGTGTTTTTTTCTTAAAAAAAACCAAAAGCACTTATAAATAGAGTTTGCAAACAGAGACAAAATACAAAGCATATAATTTAATTAAGTGTGAATTGATAATTCCATAATTGCAATGCTGATAACCCTAATTAAAGAACAAGCAGGAATCAACTAACATTTAAAATTTTAAGAATTACCATCCGGCACTCACACACGAGAAATCAATTTTACAAATAGTCAAATGAAAAAAAATAAAACATAGAATGATACTGTATAAATTATATAATCCGTAAAATACAATCATATAATCTAAATAGCTAATAAGCTAGAAGTAGAACTGTGGAAAGGATAAAGAGATAAAACTAAAACAGCCTCACCTGCGATTCTGCCGTTCTGCGAAGGGCCCAACTGCCCAAGCCAAAGAAGTGAGAGGCGACTGGCGAGTTCCGTCCGACACAACACTCCGACCGTCGGACGTCCTTATGTGGTCAGAATCGAGCAGTCGTCAGTGGAGCAGAGGCGATATCATTCCCTAGTCGTTTAACCGCTTTTAGCTTTCCTCATCTAATCATATGGGCCTATTCGCGAGTATATATGGCTGTTTTGGGTTTTCATAATGGGCCTATTTGCAGTACAAGTGCCGGCGGATGCATCACCCTAATTATGACACAACCTAAATGAAAGATAGTGATTATTTTTTTTTGATGGAAAGTGATTATTTTTTTGAGAACATGAAAGATAGGGATTATATTCGCAGTTACCAAATCTATAGTTATAATAGTAAAGCTCAGTTTTTAGTTGCTGATTTGTCAACCTCTCATTGGCTAGAAGAAAATTAATTAACTCAATTTCATTTTAAAACAATCCTATTATTTTAAAACAAATTGCGGTCTGCCAGAGTTATTGATTACACCACTCGGTTCAGCAAAAGTCTATCAACAACTTATCCCTAAAAAAAAACTTATCAACTCATTAATAGCACCGAGAGTCCGAGAGTGTTGAAACTGAACTCAATGATTGCATGTTGATAAATACATTAATTAATGACTGCATACATTAATTAAAGACCGCATATTGATAAATTCATGAATACATTAAATAATGACTGCATATTGATAATTCCATTATATATTAACGCTGGAAACATCTGGTCAAAAAATAAAACGCTGGAAACATATTTTAATGATTACATATTAATAAAATTATGAATGTGATAAAAAGTAGGACTCTATATCAATAAAATTTAATGACTGCATATTGATAAATTCATAAATACATTATATATTAACGATGGAAACATCTGGTAAAAAAAACGCTGGAAACATATTTTAATGATTACATATTAATAAAATTACGAATGTGATAAAAAGCAGGACTCTATGTTGATAATGATAAAATTTAATTAATATGTACGTAGCAGGTATACTCCTAGAACTAGAACATATCCGATAAATGACAATAGACTCCCAACTCTTCCATGCTCCATCACCGGCCATGCTCCATCAACAGCCCTATATAATAAACTATTCCAACAAAAATCATATCGATCTAAAGCACAAAATTTGTCACGCCCCGGCCTGGCCGGACGCGCTAACAACCGCCGCATAATCCGATTAAGGCAACCGCAGTTCACCCTACTCGAACCATGCAAGGCATACATGAATACCATTCACACTAGTACATCCATAAACAATCATAAATAAAGCATTTCAAATATACGCAGCGGAATACAAATACTTTTTAAAAGTAAAAGGCCACACAGGGCGAACATGAGCACGCAGGCTCCCAAATCATTTATAATTTAAAAATAGTCCATGAGCATTATTTTATTTATATCAAAATAGAACTGGAAGAAGCACGAACCAAGTCTTCTCTCCATGGATCACCCGAAGCAACGGGAACAGGAAGCAAGCTCTAGCTTCTACCTGAAACTGTGAGGTGGCCTCCCCCGTGAAGGGGAGGTCAGTACTTGGAAGCATTTGACAAGTACAATGACAACTATACTGAATATAATTTATGTTTCAAACACAAGACCCTCAAAATAGGGTGATACTATATTATGGGCATAACCTACAGCTACCCCATTTCAAATCACTTGTATAGAATATATATACCAAGTCAAATAGCCGACCCGTAGGTCCATTTGTATTTCAAAACAATTCCCCTTGTATAGCCCTTGGCCTATTCTTGCATATAGCAATATCGAGAGGTTATCCCACCCCTAGTCTAAACCCAACTCTATCGAGAGGGTTACACAATTTATCATTTGTACCCGTCCACGTTGGACTTACCCACCCTACGGGTGTATTCATTCATTTTGGGCTTACACCCCCAGTATAATATCTTTGATTCATTTAGGGCTTACACACCCCGTATATTCTTAGTTCGTGTAGGGCTTACACACCCCGTATAATACTTTACTCATTTAGGGCTTACACACCCCGCGTAATACTTTACTCATTTAGGGCTTACACACCCCGCGTAATACTTTACTCATTTAGGGCTTACACACCCCGCGTAATACTTTATTCGTGTAGGGCTTACACACCCCGCGTAATATCCTTTATCTCGTTAGGGCTTACACACCCCGTGTATATATATCCCCGTATACTCATTGTACACGAGCAATCATAATCTATCAACCTCGGGCTAGTCTTCATCAAGACTCCCCGGGCTGCCTTCATATAGTCTAGGTAGACTCCACCATTTCCTTTGAGTGTGACCATAGTCCATCACTCATTCTAAGTTCATGCCTATCTAATTCAATACTATAGATAGCACATACAATTAATCACTACGGATTCATATCACTTTGATCATGTCAATAACTCAAGTATTCCTTACTTCACATTTAATCATTTTGCCTATCCACATAGGTATCCATATATCCCTTTTAAGATCTTATGGAATCACACATTTATCAACATTTGTCTATATCATGCTAATCCTCTATATCAATTCAATAATTAATATATTTCAAGGATTTCTCCCCTCATGCATAATGCCTTTGCTTATCCACCTTAGTAATATCATGTATCAA